AAGCTTTATTATTGTAACTAAGAATCTTTTTTCTGTTCTGTATGTTCTGATATCATCGCAGTTAATGGTCATGTTTAATAGAAATTATGCCAATAAATATTTTTAATAATCTATTAGGGGTGTGTGTTTCTGAGAGTGTGTGTGAGTGAGTGAGTGTGTGTGAGAGTGAGTGAGTGAGTGTGTGTGAGAGTGAGTGAGTGAGTGTGTGTGAGAGTGAGTGAGTGAGTGTGTGTGAGAGTGAGTGAGTGAGTGTGTGTGAGAGTGAGTGAGTGAGTGTGTGTGAGAGTGAGTGAGTGAGTGTGTGTGAGAGTGAGTGAGTGAGTGTGTGTGAGAGTGAGTGAGTGAGTGTGTGTGAGAGTGAGTGAGTGAGTGTGTGTGAGAGTGAGTGAGTGAGTGTGTGTGAGAGTGAGTGAGTGAGTGTGTGTGAGAGTGAGTGAGTGAGTGTGTGTGAGAGTGAGTGAGTGAGTGTGTGTGAGAGTGAGTGAGTGAGTGTGTGTGAGAGTGAGTGAGTGAGTGTGTGTGAGAGTGAGTGAGTGAGTGTGTGTGAGAGTGAGTGAGTGAGTGTGTGTGAGAGTGAGTGAGTGAGTGTGTGTGAGAGTGAGTGAGTGAGTGTGTGTGAGAGTGAGTGAGTGAGTGTGTGTGAGAGTGAGTGAGTGAGTGTGTGTGAGAGTGAGTGAGTGAGTGTGTGTGAGAGTGAGTGAGTGAGTGTGTGTGAGAGTGAGTGAGTGAGTGTGTGTGAGAGTGAGTGAGTGAGTGTGTGTGAGAGTGAGTGAGTGAGTGTGTGTGAGAGTGAGTGAGTGAGTGTGTGTGAGAGTGAGTGAGTGAGTGTGTGTGAGAGTGAGTGAGTGAGTGTGTGTGAGAGTGAGTGAGTGAGTGTGTGTGAGAGTGAGTGAGTGAGTGTGTGTGAGAGTGAGTGAGTGAGTGTGTGTGAGAGTGAGTGAGTGAGTGTGTGTGAGAGTGAGTGAGTGAGTGTGTGTGAGAGTGAGTGAGTGAGTGTGTGTGAGAGTGAGTGAGTGAGTGTGTGTGAGAGTGAGTGAGTGAGTGTGTGTGAGAGTGAGTGAGTGAGTGTGTGTGAGAGTGAGTGAGTGAGTGTGTGTGAGAGTGAGTGAGTGAGTGTGTGTGAGAGTGAGTGAGTGAGTGTGTGTGAGAGTGAGTGAGTGAGTGTGTGTGAGAGTGAGTGAGTGAGTGTGTGTGAGAGTGAGTGAGTGAGTGTGTGTGAGAGTGAGTGAGTGAGTGTGTGTGAGAGTGAGTGAGTGAGTGTGTGTGAGAGTGAGTGAGTGAGTGTGTGTGAGAGTGAGTGAGTGAGTGTGTGTGAGAGTGAGTGAGTGAGTGTGTGTGAGAGTGAGTGAGTGAGTGTGTGTGAGAGTGAGTGAGTGAGTGTGTGTGAGAGTGAGTGAGTGAGTGTGTGTGAGAGTGAGTGAGTGAGTGTGTGTGAGAGTGAGTGAGTGAGTGTGTGTGAGAGTGAGTGAGTGAGTGTGTGTGAGAGTGAGTGAGTGAGTGTGTGTGAGAGTGAGTGAGTGAGTGTGTGTGAGAGTGAGTGAGTGAGTGTGTGTGAGAGTGAGTGAGTGAGTGTGTGTGAGAGTGAGTGAGTGAGTGTGTGTGAGAGTGAGTGAGTGAGTGTGTGTGAGAGTGAGTGAGTGAGTGTGTGTGAGAGTGAGTGAGTGAGTGTGTGTGAGAGTGAGTGAGTGAGTGTGTGTGAGAGTGAGTGAGTGAGTGTGTGTGAGAGTGAGTGAGTGAGTGTGTGTGAGAGTGAGTGAGTGAGTGTGTGTGAGAGTGAGTGAGTGAGTGTGTGTGAGAGTGAGTGAGTGAGTGTGTGTGAGAGTGAGTGAGTGAGTGTGTGTGAGAGTGAGTGAGTGAGTGTGTGTGAGAGTGAGTGAGTGAGTGTGTGTGAGAGTGAGTGAGTGAGTGTGTGTGAGAGTGAGTGAGTGAGTGTGTGTGAGAGTGAGTGAGTGAGTGTGTGTGAGAGTGAGTGAGTGAGTGTGTGTGAGAGTGAGTGAGTGAGTGTGTGTGAGAGTGAGTGAGTGAGTGTGTGTGAGAGTGAGTGAGTGAGTGTGTGTGAGAGTGAGTGAGTGAGTGTGTGTGAGAGTGAGTGAGTGAGTGTGTGTGAGAGTGAGTGAGTGAGTGTGTGTGAGAGTGAGTGAGTGAGTGTGTGTGAGAGTGAGTGAGTGAGTGTGTGTGAGAGTGAGTGAGTGAGTGTGTGTGAGAGTGAGTGAGTGAGTGTGTGTGAGAGTGAGTGAGTGAGTGTGTGTGAGAGTGAGTGAGTGAGTGTGTGTGAGAGTGAGTGAGTGAGTGTGTGTGAGAGTGAGTGAGTGAGTGTGTGTGAGAGTGAGTGAGTGAGTGTGTGTGAGAGTGAGTGAGTGAGTGTGTGTGAGAGTGAGTGTGTGTGTGTGTGTGTGAGAGTGAGTGTGTGTGTGTGAGCGAGTGTGTGAGCGTGAGCGAGTGAGCGTGTGTGTGAGTGAGTGAGCGAGTGAGCGAGTGAGTGTGTGTGTGAGAGTGAGTGAGTGTGTGTGTGTGTGAGAGTGAGTGTGTGTGTGAGAGTGAGTGTGTGTGTGAGAGTGAGTGTGTGTGTGAGAGTGAGTGTGTGTGTGAGAGTGAGTGTGTGTGTGAGAGTGAGTGTGTGTGTGAGAGTGAGTGTGTGTGTGAGAGTGAGTGTGTGTGTGAGAGTGAGTGTGTGTGTGAGAGTGAGTGTGTGTGTGAGAGTGAGTGTGTGTGTGAGAGTGAGTGTGTGTGTGAGAGTGAGTGTGTGTGTGAGAGTGAGTGTGTGTGTGAGAGTGAGTGTGTGTGTGAGAGTGAGTGTGTGTGTGAGAGTGAGTGTGTGTGTGAGAGTGAGTGTGTGTGTGAGAGTGAGTGTGTGTGTGAGAGTGAGTGTGTGTGTGAGAGTGAGTGTGTGTGTGAGAGTGAGTGTGTGTGTGAGAGTGAGTGTGTGTGTGAGAGTGAGTGTGTGTGTGAGAGTGAGTGTGTGTGTGAGAGTGAGTGTGTGTGTGAGAGTGAGTGTGTGTGTGAGAGTGAGTGTGTGTGTGAGAGTGAGTGTGTGTGTGAGAGTGAGTGTGTGTGTGAGAGTGAGTGTGTGTGTGAGAGTGAGTGTGTGTGTGTGAGTGAGTGTGTGAGCGTGAGCGAGCGAGTGTGTGTGTGTGAGAGTGAGTAAGTGTGTGTGTGTGTGAGTGAGTGTGTGTTTTCAGTATAGACCAACACTTCCTGTTTCTGCCAGCAGAGTTGCCATAGCAACTCCTGAGAGCATCACTGTGGCTGCAGATGATGCTGATCTTCAGTCCAGCGGTTTCTGTTCAACCCATGAGGACCAGGTCAGAATCTGCTGTGATCCTCATTCCTCCAAACCTCAGCTGTGATGAGGAGCAGATCAACAGGATGAAGAGCTGACTGTTATGATACAGATGATCAGTCTAAAATGCACAAAATACAAGTGTGACGTCATGGGGGCTTTAAAATTCTGCTCAGCCGCTCATTGGTTGTGAGAGTCACGTGGGAGTGAAATTATTACATGAACGTGTACAGTTAAAGAGCATAAGACAAAACGTGTTTTAGCCATTGAAAAACCAGCAGCTCTCTAGATGTTTTTTTTATTTTGGTGAATATATATATATATACGAGCTGCTCGAATGATCAAACCTTATCAGTTTATATTGCATCTATGAGCTGTAGAATATTTCTGCACTTGATATGAATATGTGGCTCAGTCAGTGATAAATCAGGATCATAAAATGATGCTCAGTCTGCGAGCCCGCTATTATTCAACGAGATGTTCAAGCTATTGCCCTCCTGCAGCATTTATTCAGTAAGAAAATACACAGGAAAAATCGCAGAAGCTCTGACGTCATCGGACGGTCAACCAGCACGCGGAGCGACGCGGACCTGCCATTGGCCGCTGGACGGGAGAACGGGATTTCTCTGGGCAGATTAGGAAACTGAGCGCCGTGGGCTCGAAGGCGCGCCCTTCTTCCGCCATCTTGGCTCAAGAGGCCCGAGGAGTGTCGGCGGAAACATCCGGGGAATCGCGCGCACCTCGGCGGCCATTGCGGCTCGGCGTGCGGCAGCTTCATAACCTTGAGAGGGCGGAGCGTCAGCGCGCTGGACGGGAGCAGCAGCGGAGCGGGAGGAGAGACGCCGAGGCGACGGAGAGCTGCAGAAACCGTTACACGGCAGCGCTGCTGTACCTCACCGCTCTAACGGGAGATCAGGGCGTGTACCGGCGCGTCTAACGGACAATGATGAGTGCGGTCGGACGGGAACCGGAGCGGCGGCGGCGTTGAGCGCGTTTTCATGTCTGAGGCGGATCGGCGGGATCTTGAGCGTTTGGGCGCACCAGCGCGGTTTTTTTAATTATTTTTTAATTAATTAATTTTTTTCGGTCGCTTGCGTCACATTGACATTTATTATTTGAAGCGGCAGAATCCCGGAGCGTTGATTTTCCCTGACATCATCATCATCACCATCATCATCGTCGTCGTCGCTCGGTGTGAACGGACAGCTTCGGTGGTCGTCGACGGGAATCCGGGGGATTGACAGGATCCGGGTGTCGGTTCTGAGGGAAAGCGGGTCTGTCGGCGGGAGTAACGGTAACGGTAACGGTATGGCTGACGACGACGTGCTGTTCGAGGATGTGTACGAGCTCTGCGAGGTGATCGGGAAGTGAGTGATCCAATCTCATCAATCATTTCACCGCTGAGGCGTTTTCCTCCGGCGCTCTTTGTCTCGTGTGTTGACATTTTACTGCTTCAGGTTCAGCTGACCGAGTGTGTGTGTGTGTGTGTGTGTGTGTGTGTGTGAGTGAGTGTGTGAGTGAGTGTGTGAGAGAGAGAGAGTGTGTGTGTGTGTGTGTGTGAGAGAGAGAGAGTGTGTGTGTGTGTGTGTGTGAGAGAGAGAGAGTGTGTGTGTGTGTGTGTGTGAGAGAGAGAGAGTGTGTGTGTGTGTGTGTGTGAGAGAGAGAGAGTGTGTGTGTGTGAGTGTGTGAGTGAGAGTGAGTGAGTGTGTGCCAGCGCGGTTTTTTTAATTATTTTTTAATTAATTAATTTTTTTCGGTCGCTCGCGTCACATTGACATTTATTATTTGAAGCGGCAGATTCCCGGAGCGTTGCTTTCCCCTGACATCATCCTCATCCTCCTCCTCCTCATCCTCCTCATCGTCGCTCGGTGTGAACGGGCATCCTCGGTGGTCGTCGACGGGAATCCGGGGGATTGACAGGATCCGGGTGTCGGTTCTGAGGGAAAGCGGGTCTGTCGGCGGGAGTAACGGTAACGGTAACGGTATGGCTGACGACGACGTGCTGTTCGAGGATGTGTACGAGCTCTGCGAGGTGATCGGGAAGTGAGTGATCCAATCTCATCAATCATTTCACCGCTGAGGCGCTCTTTGTCCCGTGTGTTGACATTTTACTGCTTCAGGTTCAGCTGACCGAGTGTGTGTGTCAGTTTAAAGGCTCACAATATCTACCATGTGCTTTAAATATGTAAGTTCTGAGTGTGTTGTGATTTTGTGTGTGTGTGTGTGTGTGTGTGATTTTGTGTGTGTGTGTGTTTTGTGTGTGTTTTGTGTGTGTGAGTGTTTTGTGTGTGTGTGTTTTGTGTGAGTGTGTGTTTTGTGAGTGTGTGTGTGTGTGCTTTGTGAGTGTGTGTGTGTGTGTTTTGTGTGTGTGTGTTTTGTGAGTGTTTTGTGTGTGTGTGTGTGTTTTGTGTGTGTGTGTGTGTGAGTGTGTGTTGTGTGAGTGTGTGTGTGTGTGTTTTGTGTGTGTGAGTGTGTGTTTTGTGAGTGTGTGTGTGTGTGTTTTGTGTGTGTGTGTGTGTTTGTGTGTGATATTGTACTGCTGTCGTTTGAGACACTGTTAAGACACTGTAGTTCAGGTCATTAGTTTAGTCTATTATTTAATGCAGATGAATGGATCTGTGATGACTGAGTTCATCTGCTGTCAGGCCTGTAGACGCTCCGCTCTTCTTCAGCTCTGAATGAAGCGATCAGGGTCAGTCTTCATCACGCTTCACCCGTGTCTGTCAGCGTGTGAATGTAAAGCCGCTGCTCGTAATCTGTGACTCTGATTTCGCTGTGAATGTGTCTGAGTCTCATTTGGGTTCATGAGCAGAATCTCTCAAACCACTCCGTTATATTTGACTAAAAACAGTATTTGTATGACAGTATTTCCCTTCATATATTCACATCACTACTCTAAATGCCAATTATTTATTCATCACAGTAGTTTTTGTTGTGCTGACTTTATTGCTATTTTAAAAAACACTGTTACAGTAAAAATACTGAGTTACAGTACGAGCGTCTAATGAGAATTCAAACATCCAGACAGGTTTGAATAATCCTAGTGTTCTTAAAAATGCTTTCATTTCTTTATTCAATTCACGGTTATTTGTATAGCACTTTTCACGATACAAATCCTTGCAAAGCAGCTTCACAGAAAATGTAAGCTTCTTCATTATATTTAGGAGTAGTTTATCAGTGCTGATTATGTCAAGGTGACGTCCATATAGGGCTGGACGATACGGCCGAAATTGATATCACGATATTTTTCTTAATTGCCGATACGATATAATTCCGATATCGATATGAACGCTATTTATCTGAAATAGAAATATTTTGTAACATTATAAATGCCTTTATCATCACTTTTGATCAATTTTAAGCATCCTTGCTAAATAAAAGTATTAATTTCTATAATTTCTTTCCCAAAAAAATAATAAAAATGATACTGAATGGAATAGTGTATAATGTTACAAAAGCTTTTTATTTCAGATAAATGCTGATCTTTCTATTCATCAAAGAAAAAAAAATGTACTCAACTGTTTTAAATATTGATAATCAGCAGATCAGCATATTATACTGATTTCTGAAGATCATGTGACACTGAAGACTGGAGGAATGATGCTGAACATTTAGCTATGTATGATCACAGGAATAAATTAGGCTGATTATTCTTATAGATTGAAACAAATGTGCTTCAGCCAGAAAAAAGGGTATGAAAAGTGCTCCGAGTCGCTGCAGAAAACAAAAAAATTGAACGACAACAAAAACTGGAGATGGGCTTATTTAAAATGCAAACTCATTGTCTGCCAGCAGGAGGCGCTTTTAGAGCGATAGAACTAGCGGTTTCCCCGGTAACGGCTGTAATTAAAGCAGCTGCGCTCATGAACGCTACTTTATCAGATCAAATGAAAATGCCTTCGAAACTTTTCTGAAGACAGTCGGTTCCCTTCAGAGATACATTCATATAAAACACCCGCGACGTGTTATGATTTTGAAACGTGCAGTGCTCATGTTTATTCAACGAAGTCAAACGCCACAAATACATCAATGCATGGGAAACACTGGTAATGTATATCGAAATATCGGAAATGTTTAAAAATCATATCACCGTTATTGAAAAGAATTATATCACGATACATATTGATATTGAATTATTGTCCAGCCCTACGTCCATATGGCAGAAATGTACAGTAAAAATCATGCAGTTAGTAATGACATGTATTCAAACAAACAGTGAACACCATTAACAACAACGATTTATCTCAAATTATATTGTTTGTATTTGGTGTAAATTACATTGTGTTTGTAAACTTATGATCAAATTCACTCATGGTGTCATTTAGGGTCATTTACATGATAAACAATTGTACTAAAAACAGAAAATAAGTTTTTCCTTTGCGCTTTTGAAAGGTTTTGTGTACATGTTTCACAGGGATGCATGAAAACGGCTGAAAACGCTGTATTATTAATGCAGTAGTTGGCAACATCACATTGTAAAGAAATACTATGCGCTCTTCAAGTACATACTCGTGCACGCCTATAGACTAAACGCATAATGCACGTGTGCACGACATCAGTTTTCGGCATCGTTTTCAAAAGCTTGCATTTTCAATCCCCCAAAACTGTTGTCGTGTAAATGAACGTCCAAAACGCATTAAAAGTTTTAAATTTTTAGTTGGAAATGGTGTCATGGTGACTGAATGCACACACTTTGAATCATTTGACGCGCAGCGTTTGTTTTAATAAGAATGCTTAAATCATTGACGTACAGCTGATAATAGTAGACCTGATGATGATGATGATGATGATGATGAAGTCCCAGCCGTGTGTGTTGCTGACTGCATTCAGATGTTCTGCTCCATGTGCTACAGATGATCACGAGTCCTCAGAAGAGACCGTGATTGATCTCAGCAGCTCGAGAACTGAAGGACTGGAGGGGTTTTATGATGGAGAGAGGCCTGCACTGAACACGTGTGTGTTTAACAGAGCATTAAAAGTCAAAATCCTGATCTAATGTGACCAAAACACACATCCATGAATTAAACTGCAAGTAACCTGCTGAAATCCTGCTCGCACAGTGAAGATGTGCAGCGACTGTATATGTTTTTACCGCAGTGGAACCGCCTGAACCGTGTTACACTCACTTTCATAAGAGCAACACGTCACCGGTGTTTAATAACTAGTTACGCTTATTAATGACAGTAAGTCTTTGCTCTAGTCTGACTCTAGTCTGTGTTTGTCTGGTTTAAGAGGCGTTTGGACGAGGCTCCTCCAGTCTGTTTTCATGATTCACTGACCTCTGAACTGTACAGTATGTTCATCGTAAATACGAGACAATTACGATCCCTTTGGTTATTGATGTGGAGAGCTAGTGTTTGATTTCACACACACATCAGATCATAAACACGATGAAACTGAGACGTGTGTTTGTGGTCTGAGGTCTTGTGTTGTGTTCAGTGTCGGTTCAGTGATGTGTGAGGTTGCTTGGACATTTTTAATGTTTCTAATTATGTTCGAGTGATTAACACTATGTATTGGTGTTGCAGAACCACTGGTTTTTATGGGTGTCTGTGGAGCACGTTTCAGTCTACATGTACGTATTGAGACGTGACTATTGAAACCTTCTGCACGTTTTGTTCCAAAAAGTCCAAATGGATTGATATTTTTATTTTCTTTAATTGGCTACTATTGTTTGAAATTCCCCCGAGACTTAGGCTAGGGTTAGTGTTAGTATTAGAGTTAACCCTAACCATAACTGAGGTTGGTTATCTCGGGTGAGGAAGCAGATCAGAGCCTGAAATGATCTCAGTTATCAGTCCTCTATTGCAGAATTCAGCAGTAGAAATGATGAGATTCAGCTGGTTACAGAGCTACAGCTTGTAGAAATCTGGGCAAAAGCCTCCTACAATATTCATTCATTTTGAGGAATAAACAGATGAAACATAAGCATTAAAAATATCAAAGCTTAACTGTTTGTTTTTTATCCCCAGTAATAATGATTATGATTGACATACAGTAGCTTATGCTTGTCAGTGGCTGGGCTGTAACGGTTCAAATTACTCACGGTTCGGTTCAGTGTGCTTTATTTTACGGAAAAAGGACCATACTGTCAAATAGAAATAATGACAATATGAACAAATAATCTAACGACAAGAAACGGCACAAATAAATACAATAGAGCAAAGATAACTGAAGTAAACAATGCTTTACAGGTTTTTAGGTACAGAAATTTAATAAAGTAATCAAATGTAAAATAACATTGCATATTTGACTGTATAAATTGAAGATTAATCCTTATTAAAGTTACAAAAGCTATTCAGTCAAGAGCAGTGAGTGATTTCCTTGTCTTTTGTTGTTTGATTAGCATTAAAAACACAGACAGCAGGAATATAGTCTGCTGTCACTTTAAGACAATGCACTGATACTGTACGTTCAGCCGACTGTGTCTGCTAGGATACTCCCCAAGACGGGCATGTTGACGTAATTTTTGTGTGAATTTGTCCATTGAAGCACAAGACTTGAAAGAGAACTCAATATTTGCGCGCTCTCTGAGATGCAGGTTTGGATGAGTGCGCACACAGATCTTCTCATTCGTGTCTTCTTGCTCTTGAATGTTTAAACTGGCAAGGCTTAAATGTGTTTAGTTTAAACACCGATAGCAGCGTGTGGTGTTCAGGTCTCGCTATCAACACCCGGGTGATCAATCGGCGCGTTTCCATTACAGATTTGCGCAAAACTTTGGCGATATTTTATAAATGTCGATAAAAAAGTATTGCGAAATGACGGCGTTTCCATTAACCAATGTTATGAGACTTAAACGTAACCTTTTGCCTCTCGTGATAACTGCTCGTATTCCAGCATACGGCACTCGCACTGATCAAACTTTACAAGGAGAGACTGGTTTGTCCACTTTTCGTTTGTTCATGGCTGTTATTGTAATGTATTGGGAAGCCAGAATGAGTATCCATCGACAGAAACATACATTAGCCGAACTCTGTTTTATGTGTTATTTTTAAGAAACCATGTTAAGAGATGGATCGTCAGAATTAAGTTGAACTGCA